CGAGTATATATTAGATATGTATTTGTATGCTCTTTAGATGACTGATATAAGAATAAATGTCATTTATATATTTTTTTTTCCCAAATCTATTTTTTATCATAACTTCTATTGTTATTATTTTTTTAAAATAATATTTTGGCACAATGTTAGCACAATCCCCTAGCACAATCGAAAAAATTTTAAAAATCACAAAGTGGGGGAGGGTAAATGTCGTTTTTTTTTCATTTTTTACATTACAGTTTTAAAATTCGAGCACAATGTAGCACAAATCTAGCACAATTCAGCACAACTTTCAAAATAAGTTATTTCTAAAAGTGGGAGGCTAACTTCTAATAGGTTTCTTTACCAGACTCGTGATCTTTACGCTTCATTGTTAAAAAAGCGTGATCGTCCTCGTCGCTCTCTATTCACATAAAGATGTTGACCATTGTGCATCATAATACCTTCGTGGATCCACTTCAAAACCGAGAAATATTGCACTTAGACCTTTCGACGGCAAAACATATTATTCTAAACGCTGTTCTAAAATTAAACGTACAAAAACATATCCAATTCTTTCGTAACAAAATTATATTTTTCATTACAAACACCATTTGGCACTAATAAAGGAAATCTCGCGTATCTTGATTTTCAAGAAACCTTGTACATCTATAGGTTACGTAAATAAGTGAATTTAAAAAATATCAATTACTATCAAAAACAATTTTTAAGGATAAAATTATTATTTATGTATATATAAAGCGGATTTTAGATTTTTTTCGTTATATTTCAAAAATTCAAGATATAAAAAATGTTTCATACAAAAGTTTTCTAATAAAATTAATTGTAGTTATCCAAACAATATTTTTCAAAGATAAATATTTCTAAAAATTTTGTTGAAAATAATTATTTTTACAAAATATTTATGTAAATGAATAAAGTTTCATTAAAATTAGAATCTGACACTTCGCGAGATTCCTTTGTAAGACACTGCGTTAATGCTCTTTATTCCAATCATTTGTTTTGAAATATTTAAGCTTATCGTTTTTTTTTATTTTAAAATTATTTCCATTTAAAATTTTTCTTTGAGATAAAAGATACGTCACAAGTTTAAATATCTAGAGTCAAGCTGTCGAAAGTTTCAATATTTGTAAATAAAAATTTGAATAAAAGGGACAACGCGTCAAACTAATTCACCAAACTATTACCAACTGCCATTGCTATGAAAAGTATTGGAATGTGTGCGGATCGATTAAGTGGGCACACCCAGCTTCCATATTTGTACCACAGAAAGGAAAACTACACGTCTGGAAAGGAACGAGTATCATCCGAGTAAGGTGCGAAGCTGGAAAGTGAAACGTCGCGACGAACGGTACTTTTCTATCGTCCTTTCTCTTTTTTCGCACGTGCCACACGTACATTCTCGTATAAATAATATCGGTGAGCGAAGCGCGACGGCGCTTGGAAGACGGAGGAACAAGGTAGAAAAAAAAAGAAGAAAAGAAAGAAGTGGACGACGACGGCATTTCGAAGCGACTCGATGAAACCGGACTACGGTAAAGAGGAACGAGAGAGAAGACGGAGAAGAGAGGAGAAAGAGACGTAGCTCGACGACGACGACGACGACGACGACGACCTCGCAAAGAGCCGGATCATAAACGAACGATCGAAACGAAAAAGAAGATGCTCGAGAGGAAAAGGAAGAGGCCGAGCGAAGAGAGAAACAGTCGTCTTCTTTCGCTGCAATTTGCACCGAGAGATTCAGGTAAAGTTCGATGGAGGTCTTGCGAGCAATTTTGAGATAAGATAGTCGGCTGGCTATAGCTCTATAGTTATGGAAATATTTTTTTTCCAAAAATTTCCTTATTTATAACTGAGTAATATAAATACTCGAATGCGATATACTGTTGACGATGTATCGTTGAAGAAACCTTTTTTCCCCAAAAATATGCTAATGTTCCTTTAACAGATATGGAACGGATGGTTTCTTTCGGTACAATGTCAGAGGACCATCCTCGATTTCATCATTAAGAATACAATTTGTTCTTTTCAAAGATACGACAAAAACGTGAGATAGAAGCAAGAAACGAAACTTTTCTTTTTTAAAAAAGAAAGCAGATAAACTCATGTACATTATTTGAATTCAAATTGAATGT